TCCAAAACTGAGAAAAGCTGTTAAACTAGAAATTTATGTAAGTGTCTTATGAACTTTCACTTTTTCTGAAAAAACTGGAACATAATAGATGAAATTGATTTCAATCTTGCGTTTTTTTCACATTTCGCTTTATTGTGCTTATAGATTATATATTATCTGTTAGACCAGCAGGTTTCTCAATTTCTAGGCTGCGATTTCCAAGAGAGTTCGCTACAAATGGATAAAATGATTGACAAAAATCATGTCTTACGAACAAAAAATTATTTAACGTTATTTTGACGTTATTTTTTAAATAGTATCAAGAAATTAAAAAAAGGAAAAATTAAAATTAAAAATTAAGAGGCCAATAGATTAAAATAAGATAAATTTTATGCACTAAAGAATTTTCCAACAATGCGGAAGATTGAGTGTTACAGTGTAATATATTTCACTATAGTCATTGCAAGGAAAACTCAGACGTGTTAAAGAGGATCATCCGCATAAAAGTTCAAATATCCATAAAAGTTTTTAAAAAAACTTTTCGATACACTTTAGCTTATAGTTGCATGATTTTCTTACAATTTTTGTCGTATTGCTTATTTTTTTTTATTATTCATTTTCTTTCTTTAGAGATATTTTTTGTCCAATTTAATTGATTATAATTTTAATTTTTAATGTTTAATTATTATGTATATAATAATTCTTTATTCTAATCAAGATTGTATGAACGTATGTTTCATTTCTTTATACTACTTATGTCACTTCCTGTATCATTGAAATAGTAAAAAGTAACGAATGATTGTTCTTACTAAAGCTTACAATCAAATATTTGCTGCATTCTGTTGCGAAACATAATTCTATATAGCAATTGGTAAGCAAAACATTATCGAAGTTTACATAATTTACATAATTTTTCTAGAATGCTCCATACAGTCACATGCTCCGTACAATTCTGCAAAGTTTCAGATGCTCAATTCCAGGACATTCCATAAGTTTCGTCTCGTATTTTCTTTAAACACAATTGATAATAATTCGTTATAGATGTAAAACATAATAAAAACTTCAAATTCAAAGTATAAATAAGCAACATGCAAAGATGGTCCAACAATAGTAAAAACTTAAATGTGATCATTTATTTATTTTTTTTTTTTTTTTAAATCTACCATGTTTTAATTTTTCCAAAAATTGATTACGCAGCAATGATACACAGTTCAACTAAATCCCATATTCTAAAAGTATTATATTGCTTATGCCTAATATCCAATATCTTATTTAACGTCACCTAACTTAAACTAACAAAAACCTAAGTTTTTCTATTTCTGAAAACCTTTTAAATATATATTTAACAGTAAATTCCTACACGCCAAATTACCAGTTATATGAAAAACCCAAATTGCCATCGCACAAATGTGATTCGTGCAGCATTAATCTTTTCTTGAAAAGATTTGGATAAAAGGTTCAAAATCTGTTATATAATGACGATCGTATATTTTTCGCAAATAATGTAAGTGCATTTTACAGTACTGCTATCTTTTTTTTAAATAGAAATATCTTTTTACTTTCGATATTTTACAGAGAAAAAAAGTTTAAATATAGAATACTATGTATTATGTTTGAGAAGAAAATTAACGATTAAAAAAAGTTAAGTTAAAAAAGATAGACATCTTTTTACGATAACCTACATCTATGGAATTTGAAAATTATTTGAAGTACGAAGACAGGGAATTAGCCTAAACACTGTCTCTCACAGAGTTGCAACAGTTTTAAAAAAATATTCGAAGAACATTGAAAATCATTTAAAACCGAAAAAATAATACAGGAAATTAATTTTCTCTTAATTAACAACTTAGAAAGTGTGACATTTCATACGATTCACGTCCAGCCATTTTGGATCAACTAGAATTTGAATCAACAAAGTAGCGTTAAAGTTAACTCTCGTTCCAACAAACGACAAAGTTGAAAAAAAAAGATCCTTTCAGTCGTGACGAAACTGCTGAAAATTTCTTAAAATTGATTGTCATCGCGGATGAAACACAAGTACCATATGAATACAAGAACAAACAACAGTCGAGTCAATGGAACAAAAGAAAGCAAACAAAAGAAAGCAAAGCTTATATCAAATAAAATAATTCTTATTTTCTTTTTTTTTTTTTTTTTTTTCAATTATCGAAAACCCGTGTACCACAAATTTTTATCAATGATTACATGTATATACAAAAGATATAAAGTATAGTAATGTAAGATCATATTCAGCAATTCTCGTTCAAAGTTTTTGACTTAGAATTCACTTTCTCTAGTGTCGTAACCACGTCAAAAAGTGAATCATGCTACGCGCGAATAAATCATTGACAAATTAATGGAAACGTTAAATTCAGACGCCATATCAAACTGGATTTCAAAAATTGGGAAAGACAGTAAAATATTTATAAAAAAATGTTCCTAAACTTCCCTTGTATTACATCTTGTATGAAAGACATAGATCAAAAACTTTACAAGAAATACTGGAATGGAAATTTTTATAATTTCTTATTGTTTAGAGAATTATTAAAGAATGCTTTAAGTATCATTTTTTGTTATATAAGATTTTTATGTCGGAGTTTCGTTCAATTAATTTTTTTTCTTCCAACATTATCGTCTGAAACTTTAGCTTTATACAAATTATGTTTTAAACATATACGTGACATATACTTATATAGAAACATTAAAAACATATAAATCCTTGGTGATTTCCTTTTAACAATTATTATATATCCATTGATACAATAATATTTTTTAAATATCATCTTACTATTATCAACGATTAAAACCATGTTTTGTTACAAATTATTCAAAAAAATATCAATAAGTTATTAATAATATGAATGTAGTAAACGATAACATAATTTATTGAATGTTCAAAATTTCATCCAGATTTCGTTTGGATGTTTTATTCGAATAATAAAGAGTGTGATCGAATAACGATCATTACTTTCTTTATCTATTAATTTTCAATTTTTCTTCCATTATCATTAAGGATCAGATAACAAATATATTACATAAATTGTGCTGAAAAATAACAAATTTAAGTAATTTAAGTAATCTAATAATATTTCCGGATTTAAATAAAATTATACGAATTTAAATAAAAATTAGAAATCCATATAAATACAAAAACAATTCGATAAATTTAGTATAAACAAATAATTTTTCAGATAAAAAGAATAATTTTTTACATTTCTGGCCATGTGTGGTATAAGTAAATAATCTTGGAGCTAAAAATTTTACCTAAATTATACTGTTCAACAAATTTTCAAATTTCCTTTTTTCTATTCAAATATTGAGCAGATGATTTTTTGTTGAACGCAAACGTATAATAAAATCTGTATTTTGTTTCTCGTCACGTTTTCGAGAGACGTTTAATTTTGAAAAGAAGATGCAATCTTTCAACTTTAAATATTATCTTTAAATATTAAATATTAAATCTACTAAATCTACTAAACTTTAAATATTAAATCTACATTTTAATTATAAAATTTGTACGAACTTACTTTTTTGGCAGAAAATAATTCGATAGACTTTTCCGAAAATAATATGAGCCTCCCATATTCGAACTAATGGGAACACAAAAATGTTAATGAAATTTTTGGTTAATGGATATTACATTTGGGCATTAAATTGTGAATATCCAAATTACCACTTTTCGATATTCGAAGA